TATATATATATATATATATATATATATATATATATATATATATATATATATATATATATATATATAATCTGAATATTCCGACGTTGTGAAATGTACGATAAGATTATGGTGCCATCTCGAAAAATATTCGTGAACTAATTCTTTGCTCTACTTTATTATAATTGTCGGAATACCTAACCGCATGTTCTCATAAACTTTCTGCAAACTTTTCGTATCTTTTTTGGCATCAAAACTAAATTTTGAAAGTGTAGTAGTGATTTCTGAACTTTTCCTGATTGGAGCATTCACAGTTTCAGTATGTACAACCTGCAGAATGTTTGTATTAAACAAATGTTGCTCTAACTGACAGTTCAAAATTTAAATTTATATAAATTTTTTTCGTTTTCGTCACATATTGAGCAATGCTCCAATTTATTTTTGCTTGTACTTTTGTTGTGTAAAAGCGCTTGTAATTCCGTGCAAGCAACTAGACATAAACTTTGCAGGAAAAAGTCAATATTTTTTTATATTTAGCATCCCCTTAATTAATTAATATCTCATTAACTAATTGTCAGATCCAAAAATGGAAGAGGAACTTTCAGTTCCAAATTTCACCCCCTACCTATCCCTAACAGGTGTTCTACCAGTTGTGAGATACTCTATAACACACCCTGTATAAGGAAAATATACGTGCTTTTAAAACAAGAGTGGGGGGTATCTGTCAACAGATAACCTTTGTCACAATGAAGTGGGGTCGTCACAAGTGGGGACACAGCGTCTTAAAATATTCAACCAGAACAGTCGACATATAAGGCGCGGGAGTGTACAACATAAATAATCGACAGTGAATCCGGAAGAGATCCAATTATATATCGAAATTATATACTGTGAAACTCGTTGAACAAATCGCTCAGAAAAGTAAAAATGAGGTTTTGGTTTTTCCTCGGTTTTTTCTTTATTTTTTTCGTCGAAATCATATATACTGTAAGTATTTTATACGCAAATTAATGATTTACTAATCTCAAAAAGATTTAAATTAGCGTCCGAAACGTCTTGCTAGTTACATAATTTGAACAGTTCAAATTTCAAAATCGTACTTTATTTCGATTGTAGGATCTTAAATTTCAAAATTATTTCGATTTTAGGATCTTACACACACAATCCGACATAGGGACTAATCTATAGAAGTAAACTGGGGTATTATGGCCATACCGGAAAGATGACCATAGGCTATAATTTCTCTAATAATTACAAAACGTTGCGTTTGTGTAATCAGTCACAAAAATAATCGATTTTATCGTAGTGCGTACATTTTTCGAAATAGAAAGACTATGAATATTATAATGTTTTCATTTTCGACTACTTGTAAAATTTCTCTTGTTTCCACTAAAACATGCTGTAACGTCGAATAAATTACAGTTAAGCTATCGCAAACAACGTTACATACAATAACGTTACATACGTTAGATACATAAAGAAAGTATGTAAATTGTAATATAACATGCATTTTTATTTTCGTTTTTTCTATTTGTTTATAAGTACAATTATAACCGTCTTTTACTCACGTTTTGGATAAGATGGCCCACTATCATTCTAACATTTATAAAACGAAAGTCGTTATATTTAAAAAATTACTTTCAATATTACAGTAATTAAATCTTATATGCAATATGTTTTGATCAAAAATTGGATTTAGAATTTAAGTTTTGTAATAGAGGTTTCTGTTTTATATATGTATTATATTTCTCATATATAATATGTATTAAATATCCTATACTAAAATAAATATGTCAAATTATGTTCTTTTCATTATTTTATAAAATAATAGGTACAGAATCTTGAACATAAAATATGTATGGGTCATCTACTCCTTATAGCCATCTTAAAAATGTACGTAAGATGGTCAGTGCTCATGTTTTGATATTTTTGTAATAAATAATTTCACTGAAGTATTTTCATTTTAACTGATGGTATTATGTACTGTAGGCTTCTCTGCCCTTATAGAAATATCATACTAAGAATCATTGATAATTACTTATTTTCAGTATTAAAAATACTGGATAATAAGTAATTATCAATGATTCTTAGTATGATATTTCTATAAGGATAATGTAATGTGCCAAACGCTATTAAGAAATAACAATAAGAAATGTATTTTTTTTACATTTTAATAAGGTATGGCCATTTTATCCGAGTTTACCCTACTAACTTTAACACTTTTCAGCTCTAATTTCAATTACATTTCTCCATTATGCGTAATATGTCTAAATATTCGTATATCATTCCTACATAAATAGAGATGCTGAAAATTCTGGCTAACAAGATTTGTTGTCGTTGTCGTTATCGCTATCGTCGCTGACTTAAAAACGCCTTCATGACGTATTATGTTCTGACCTCTGACAGACAATGTAGAAACATTTGAAAGATTTCTTATGTCCCGATTTTGGACACCATGCTGTATTTTTTTACTTTCTCAACGAAAAAAATATATACATTATTTGCGTTTTGAGGGAAACTATATTTATTTACTTTTGAATCATTGATAGATATCTATTCTAAAGTTTATTCACACGCATTATATTTTTGTAGTTTTCATACGCACTGATGTCAACTGATATTTTCTCCATGTGATGAAAAATTGCACTAATAATTTTATACTATAAGTTTGTTTTATAAAATATCCCAACAATGTCTAATAACTTGAGTTTGTCTCTCAAGCCTCTTTAGCAGCTCTTACATATACATATTAAGCCGTCTTTCAGACGTCAGAACATAAGACGTCTTATGTCCCGATTTTGAACATTGTGATGCATGGGATGTAGTAGAATGTAAATTTAGTATTACTATATTATTTTTACAAGATAGTATATTATGTGTAACAGAATTTAATGCTTACAGATTCCCATGAGTAGATTGATACATGATGAAATGGACCTTACAGAGGCAAAGAACAACACCTATATAGAACAAATTTTAAACAGTACACATGTACGTATGCAACAAAAAGTAATAAAATGTTAAAAAATACATTTAACATATAATGTTAAAAAAAACATATTGCTAAAAATTATATGAGATTAATACAATTAATCACATACATAATTTTGTAGAAAAATTTACAAATTAATTGAAACATATATATATATATATATATATATATATATATATATATATATATATATAGCAAAAATTAAATGAAAGTTCAATCAGAAATATTATAAAGATTTAAGGAAAACTAATAAATTTTGATGAAATTAAAAATTATATACAGAAATATCCAAGTAGGAAATTCAAAACAAAGAACAATGGTAAAAAAAGCCGTTTTTGCTTATCGGGACACACGTGAAAATGTTATCATTCTTTACTAATTTTGACCAGCTAAATACATTAGTGCTTTTAGAATTACCCGGAAACACCGGGAACATCTTCCATTTTGAGATTAAATTTTGTATTTCTCCAGGTAATCTCGTATATCGCGGGCGCGTTACAAGTATTGCTAAACCTGTCGATATTGTAGAAGGAAATTTCTATCTGCAAATCCACAAACAACAAGTGCAGCATATTTTCGGTATTAATTAGATGACTGACTTTCGATATTTAAAATAGCGGATCTAATATAGCGTTATCTGAGCGAAAAGTCATCGATTTTCCTAGGAAAGAATAAAAGTAAATAATATTAAAACTTTATCTATCTTACTAGTATTTAATTCTATCTTACTAGTATTCTACCTTACTAGCATTCTACTTTACTAGTATTCAATCTATCTTACTAGTATTCTACTTTATCTATTTTACTAGTATTCAATGCTAATTAAGTTGAAAATGAATGTTGTATTTTTTTTTAATGAAACATTCATCATGGCGACTTCTTAAAACAAAATTAAATTATTTTAATTGTACCATCTTATAAAGTTGCAAAACCTGGAAATTCAAAAGGTGCTTACCTAAAACCCAAGAATCTGCTAACCTAAAAGTCTAATAAAAGATAATAAACATTATCAAAATATAAAATAATCCCAAAATAGAACAATATATTCTTAAATTTATAATTACGCTGTATTGGATTCACCATTTTAGATATCGGAAGTCAGTCATCTAATTAATACTGAAAATATCCTACTTTTGTTGTTTGTGGTTTGTGGATTTGCAAATAGCAGTTTCCCCCCACAATATCCACATGTTCGGCAATAATTGTAACGCGCGCGCGCGTGATTATCTGGAGGGGGATCCGATAAGGGATTATCTGAAGAAGTACAACTTTAATCTCAAAATGGAAGAGGTTCACAGTGTTTCCGGGGTATTCTAATAGCACTACTGTATTTAGCTGGTCAAAATTAGTAAGGAATGATAATATTTTCTCGTTTGTCACGATAGACACAAAATGGCCTTTTTATTATTAGCGCTTTATCATTAGCGCTCAAAAATTTGGTGTGCTCGAGTTGCATTTAAACTCACTCTCCTCTCTATTATATGTTTTAATTTATGTATATTAATACTTTATGCTTTAAACTCTATGTGTACATATGTTATAATTTATTATTACTAATATTATTTTTACAAGATAATATATTATGCGCAACAGAATTTAATGCTTACACATTTTAATACTTTTTGTACAAGTATCCTATTATATCGATGTTCTTTTTTGCCTCTATAAGTTCATTTTATTATGTGTGAATTTTCTTATGCAAACTTGTAAGCATTAAATTCTGTTTTACACATAATATACTATCTTGTAAAAATAATATTAGTAATAATAAATTATACATATATATATATATATATATATATATATATATATATATATATATATACATACAAAACTTTAATGAAAATTTAACCAGAAATATTATAAAGATCTACGTTATAATTCTCAATGTATTAATTTACTCATTTGAATATCAGTTAGTACTTATTTGAGTATCACTTATTACCATCCTAAAAAAAAAGAGAATTCCCACATAATTAATATATATTCATTCTTTGACTATAAAGCAGTGTCATAAAGCAGACAGCAACTATTAAATGCAACTCTTTGAGTGTAAAGTAGCGTCATAAAGCAGACATTAACTATTAAATGCAACTAGTGTACGCCATGGTTTTGTGTCCCGATGATATATTTTTCTTGAATTTCTTACCTAGATATTTCAATACATAATTATTAATGTTTAGCAAAATTTATTAGTTTTCTTTAAATCTTTATAATATTTCTTGTGGAATTTTCACTAATAATAATTATATTCTGTATTTTTACGTTTATTATCATTTTCTCTAACCGGCAAAATAATTTTTAGATCTACAATAACTCTTCTCGTAGTAAGAGGCATGTTATAGATATAGGGTCTAGATTGACTGGTTGTTCGACGGGGCGTATAAATGAAGAATATGTCAAAAAACTGTTCAATGCGTCGATTGCCGAATGTTGGAACACAATCGATAATCAAACAAGAGAGAATATGTTTAAAGAATTTCGTGACAAAAGATTGTATTGCTTGTCACAAAAGTTAAATATTTGCTAAAAGTAAGATAATCGCATTTAAACAAACAGCTTCTGAGCGCTTTTAAAACCTTGATTTGACCTTCTGAAGGTCAAAATAAAAAATTTAAAAATATAATTTCTGACGTAAAATTTCCCGCTCTCTTCGAATCCGGTATCGAAAGTAGGCGGCCCCATTTAAAAAAATCACTATGACCTCCAAATGATCTTGAAATTTGACCTCAAGGTCAAATTCATTTATTGAGAAAGATGAGCCCCATCGTCCTGAACAAATTTTGTCTTAACTATTTTTCTATATCTGGCTTACCTATGGAGAAATTTGGATGGGTTCCGTAAAATAGCCCACCGTATATATATATATATATATATATATATATATATATATATATATATATATAGGATGTTCCCAAAAGGTGGTACCAAATTTTAGGGGTATGTAGTACTCGTTAAAACAAACCAAAAAGTCTTAATAAACAGTACTCCGAAAACCTTCTATTTCTGAGTTATGAAGCATTTTCTTCTGTGAAAAATAGAAAATAACTAAAATTTACAATAAATATAGGTTTCACGTAAGCGTTGATGAATTTTGCTAAACATTCTTCTACTTGGCTGTCGGCGATTCGGATAAGCTGCACGATACAAGCGTACTGCTTTTGAAGCATTGCCCTTTACTCTGCCATACATAAAATGAATATCCGTCATTTCAGAATTTGTGTAAAAATTAGCAATTTTTCATATAACACAAAACTAGACCAAGTTGAATACAACAATCCCTGCATAATTAGGTGGTCACATACGGACGTTCATGAATGAACTGACTATGATCGTGAATGAAGAGACTTGGAACTGTTGTCAACAAATACGAAATAAACCTGGACTCTTTGACTTTCAATGACGAAACATGCCGAAATGTGTTTTGAAATGAGCCGAAGGCACATTGAACATTTATTGTAGATTTAATTTATTTTCTATTTTTTACAGAAAAAAATGCTTCATAACTCAGAAATAAAAAGTTTTCGGAGTACTGTTCATTAAGAGTTTTTAGCTTGTTTTAACGAGTACTACATACTCCTAAAATTAGGTACCATCTTTTGGGAACACCCTGTATATATAAACGATATATATATATATATATATATATATATATATATATATATATATATATATATATATATATATATATATATAATTGTTATACGTTTATATTATTTATATAAAACCTAGCAAAATTGATTGTATTGTTGAGTGGTATTAATTACCTCACGCAATGTTGCTGACAGTTGATTTGGTTAGATAGATTGGATTCATTAAATATACTAAAAGATTATTAACAATTATATAAAAATAAACAGTTGTATGATTAAAGAAAGTAAATCTACAATTGACTCAATGGGGTATTTCTAAAACTATTATATAATACTGTTGAAGAAAATATACGTATTTTTAATACAATGTGGCGTATTAGTTTCAATATTAAAATTAGTGAACCAAAAATTCTAATTAGACTTAAATATATTTTTTTTTTACGTAGAATCCTCGTTCCAAATATTGACATATCGTCAGAGACGTTAACAAATAACCTCTGACCCAATGAAGTTGGATATACCACGCACCGTTCCTTAATGTATTCAACCAGATCAATATGCGAGACGCAATGTGCGAGTGTGTACAACATGATAAATCGACAAAATGAATCTGCGAGAGATGCAATTATATATCGACTTATGCTGTGAAACTCGTTGAACAAATCGCTCAGAAAAGTCAAAATGAGGTTTTGGTTTTTCTTTGGTTTTTTCTTTATTTTTCTCATCGAAATCATATATACTATAAGTACTTTACACGCAAATTAATAAACTTACTAATCTCAAAAAGATTTAAATTAGTGTCCGAAACGTCTTGCTTATTACATGATTTGAACAGTTCAAATTTGAAAATCGTACTCGAAATTATTTCGACTTTAGAGTCGGTTTCACCAACTCCGGTTAAACCAACCTACGGTTAAATTCTAACTACCAGAAGTGCCAATAGATTGAATATAAATTGTCCATTGAGGTTCAGTATGACACTGTTATTGGCACGTCACATTTAAGTTGGCTACTCTGCTACTTTTAACCCTCGGTTAGCTTAACCGGAGTTGGTGAAACCGACGCTTAGAAACTTAAAGACATGCAATCCGACATACTAACTTTAATACTTTTTAGCTCTAATTTCAATTACATTTCTGCATTAGGCGTAATATGTAATTATTCATATACCATTCCTACATAAACAGAGATACTGAACATATCATGCAATTATTTAATATATACTTTATGATGTTATTGTAAGTAGAGCAAAAAATGTGTTTAAAATATGATTGTTTTTTTAATCTTTCGATTCTCATGTTAATTTCATGGATATAAATTCACAAAACAGGCGAATGGCTCGCCCCGAAGAAATAAGTTATATTTTCTTGAAAATTGTATATAATATACATTTTTTTGTCTCAAACGAAAGCTTATGACTTAAAAATTAATGAGAAAAATCACAAAAATTATCAAAATTTTCTGACAATTAATCTAAAAAATTATTTGTGGGCGAACGATTCGTTTGGGAGCCGCAAATTTAAAAAAAATACCTATTTATTATGCCATAATTTTAATTAAAATATTTAATATTTTTATTAATATAATAATGAAGTACGAAATACATTCTCTTTCCGACGAAATAAACAAAAATTTTCGTGACATCAAAGTATTGCCGCTCTAGTGTCAGAATTTTTATGGCACCACAGATGATTTTTTTCTATACACTATAAACAGCGGCTTGAATTTAATTCTAGAAACTTCGTATGCAAGCGATTCGAGATCATACCACTATTGAGTGATATGTAATAATATTTGTATGACAATAGAATGTAAACAATTTTTGTCAAAATAATATAGGCAGTATCGACGATTCTACAACGAATCGCCGTCATGTTAGAGGGAAATCATTGCAATTGTTCAAGAATCATCTTCAGAAAAGGGATGATGAATATATAAATTATCTTGCAAATAAAAGAGGCGGATTTTCTTGCGGAAGATCGCTTACGGTCTGCCAAGTATCGCTTACGATTACTGTTTACGAAGTTAAGTGTAGGAGTAGGACCCGCGAGTAGGATACGCGCGAGCGGCGTATAAATATATATATTTTTGTAAAGAGCATTTAAATACATATCTTCTAATTCTTAACGTTAAGTACGCATCAATTTGCCCTCTTCCTTTTTCCGATATCCTACAATATTGAAAAAAAAATGTTATTGTATATAAGGACGGATTGTTATGTACTTGTATTAATTGCTAAACAGATAAGATGCTAAAATCAAGCGGTACAATATATAAAACACGCGACGTCAAGTATATATAAAATGTTCGACATTGATAATAGACGATGCAACACTATTAGCTATATCTGAAGTTTTTGCATAATCAATTCTTCGATTAAGATATCCAAGGAATTAAAATCGTAATAAAAGGAGTAACGTCACTTTCCTGATATAATGCGAATGCAAGCTTTCGATTGCGATTAGTTCAATCGATATAATCAATCCTGATCAATCATAATCTTATACGCGAAAAGGTCAATTTTTCCCGATTTAGATTTCAGATTCACACGTACACGCGCATACACGCAAAGTGAGTTTGTTCATCAAGCCGCATTTACAATATACATATACGAATATATTTGGATGTGTGGGAATATAAATAAACATATATATGTACACATTATCGTGCACATCCTTCAGCAGTTTTACTCTGCTCTTGTTCCTATGTGTAGATATATAAAATAAATGAACGTAGACATATTCGTACACGTTTTTAAAAAATTTTCTTTGTTTGTCATTATCATCAACGTCGTTCGTCGATGTTGCCTTTACCATTATTGCCGTTGTTGTTGTCATTTTTTAATAAGATAAATATGACATTTCGTAATCGTACACATAATATACTATCTTGTAAAAATAATATAGTAATAATAAATTCACGTCCTACTAGATGCCATACAATTCAATATTCAAAATCGGGACATCAGATGTCTTGTGTTTTAACGTCTGAAAGATATCATAATATGTACATATATGGAGGAGCTGCTAATGCGGCTTGAGGAACGAAATCAAGTTATAAGATATTGTTGGGATATTTTATAAAACAAACTTATAGTAAAAATATATATAGAAGAAAAGGTATAAAATTATTAGTGCAATTTTTTATCATGGGGAAAATATCAGTGAACTTCAGTGGACATACAAATATAGTGCATGTGAAGACTTGAATGGATATCTATTAATGATTCAAAAGTATATAAATGTAGTTGGACTCAAAAATGCATATATTTTAAAATGCATATATATAAATAAACATATATATGTACACATTATCGTGCACATCCTTCAGCAGTTTTACTCTACTCTTGTTCCTATGTGTAGATATATAAAATAAATGAACGTAAACATATTCGTACACGTCTTTAAAAAATTTTCTTTGTTTGCCATTATCATTGACGTCTGTCGATGTTGTCCTTATCATTATCGCCGTTGTTATTGTCATTTTTTAATGAGATAAATATGACATTTTGTAATTGTACAGCGGGATGTACAAACGTGTGTACATTCTTGAATATTTTTTTCTTTCAGTGTGTCCCTGAATAGAAACTTGTATAATTCTGATCAGATTGATTTCAATTAGGCATCCAGTTATATATCCTTATTATTAATGGTTCATTAGTAATAGTTTTTAATTCCATATTGCTTTGCATGACTTATCACGACCGAATAATATTACCTTGTACAAACTAAATGATTAAATGACTGAATTTAGGATCAATTTGATCAGGACCACATTCTAGTCATGTTAATTCCGGCTAACAATATTTGTCGTTATCATCGTCATCGCCGTCATCGCTCTCTTATAGATGTTTTAAAGAAGTCTTATATCCCGATTTTGGACATCGTGTTGAATAGGATTTTACTTTCTCAACGAAAAAAATATATGCATTTTTAAGGTCACCTACATTTATATACTTTTGAATCATTAATAGATATCCATTTAAGTCTTCACACGCACTATATTTGTATGTCCACTGAAGTCCACTGATATTTTCCCCATGATGAAAAATTGCACTAATAATTTTATGTCTTTTCTTCTATACATATTTTTACTATAAGTTTGTTTTATAAAATATCCCAACAATATCTTATAACTTGATTTCGTCCCTCAAGGATTAGCAGCTCTTCCATATATGTACATATTATGACATCTTTCAGACGTTAGACGTTAGAACACAAGACATCTGATGTCCCGGTTTTGAATATTGAATTGTATGGCATCTAGTAGGACGTGAATTTATTATTACTATATTACAAGATAGTAGATATTTACAAGATAATATATTATGTATAACAGAATTTAATGCTTAATTAGATACAAATTTGCATAAGGAGATCCATACATAATGAAACGAACCTTACAGAGGCAGAAAACAATACCAATATAGAAGAACGTTTAAACGTACGTATACAACAAAAAGTAATAAAATGTGAAAAAACATATTTGACATACAATATTAAAAAAACACATTGCTAAAAAATAAATAAGATTAATACAATTAATCACGTATATAATTTTGCAGAAAAATTTACAAATTAGTTGAAACATATATATATAGAGCAAAACTTTAGTGAAAATTCAACCAGAAATATTGTATAGATTTACTTCATGTTATGATTTATTATATCTTATAATTAACATTAATTATTAATATTCTATCTATCCTATGTATACTATATCCATCCTATGTATATGCTATTCAATCCTATCCATCTTCTACTTTATCTATGAGGTGTACAAATAATTGTGGTATTTTAAATTTTAGCAGTTCCGAATATACATTTGTAACAACATTCATTATCTTGTTTATATTATTTTATTTCTTATATTAATTTCTCATATTTACCGATACAGTCATGTTGATATCATGTTGATATCACATGATTCGAGACAAAGTGTTGGCTACGATATAAAACGTTGAAAAAGAGAGTAAAAAAGAGTTGTGACGGAGACGAAGTCGCGGAGTTGTGAAGTATATAGAGGCAAATGGTTATTGGAGATGTTTCCCCTAAAGTGAATAATTACTTTACCATCCTAAAAAAGAAGAAAATTCTCACATAATTAACATATATTAACTCTGAGTATAGAGTAGCGTTATAAAGCGGACGTCAACTATTAAATACAACTCGGACACGCCACGGTTTTGAATCCCAATGATAAATTTTTCTTGTGTGTGTGAATTTCTCACCTGGATATTTCATTATATAATTATTAAAGTTAGGCAAATTTATTAGTTTTTCTTTTAATCTTTATGGTATTCCTGGTGGAATTTTCATTAATAACAGAGGCCTGCAAAATTGGAGGTGTAAGTTGATTGGAATTTGACAATGTTTTCTTACGAAATTTTTTGCTCTAAATCCGAATCTATCTGCAGAATTGCTCTATCACGTCAGAATTTCAGAATATCCTAAAAAAAAATAAAATTCCCACATAATTAACATATATTAACTCTGAGTATAGAGTAGCGTCATAAAGCGGACGTCAACTATTAAATACAACTCGGACACGCCAAGGTTTTGAATCCCAATGATAAATTTTTCTTGTGTGTGTGAATTTCTCACCTGGATATTTCATTATATAATTATTAAAGTTAGGCAAATTTATTAGTTTTTCTTTTAATCTTTATGGTATTCCTGGTGGAATTTTCATTAATAACAGAGGCCTGCAAAATTGGAGGTGTTGAAAGTTGATTGGAATTTGACAATGTTTTCTTACGAAATTTTTTGCTCTAAATCCGAATCTATCTGCAGAATTGCTCTATCACGTCAGAATTTCAAAATATCCTAACCTAAAGCAACCAAAAAAGCTGTTTTTAATATTTTCAATTAAATTAAAAATTGAAAACATTTTTTTTTGTCAAATTCGTCAACGGTATCATTTACTACTACGGCCTCTTCAAAATCCACTTTAAACCATCTCAAAATAATTTTTTCTTCCAGAGATATATCAATTTAAAATACGATAAATTGTATCTCGTAGGAGCTTAGTCTCTGAGACCAGGTGGGTGTCTACCCGGCCAGTGAAGATGAAGGAGCTATATAGTAGTAAATGATACTGTTGACGGATTTGACAAAAAAAATTTTCTCAATTTTTAATTTAATTTAAAATATGGTTGAAAACCATATTTTAACTTAACCATATTTAGTTTTTTGGCTATTTTAGGTTAGGATATTTCGAAATTCTGACGTGATAGAGCAATTCTGCGACCAGATTCGGATTTAGCGTAAAAAATTGCATAAGAAAACATTGTCAGATTCCAATCAACAAAATCGTGCAGGCCTGTGAAATAATTATATTCAGTGTTTTATGATCATTGTCATTTTCTCTAACCTATAACATAATTTTCAGGTCTTTAACATGAGACTTCCAAGACATCAAAAATTTAACGATCACTTAGTGATGGTTAATTGCCGTAGTTCTATCGGGGGTGTTTTACGAGACAAGGGAAGAAGAAATGGACAAAATGGAAAAAATATTCCATACCATCTTTGTTTCCAAGCGACGCACCAAGTGAAAGCGTAAAGCGAAGCACGGGCGAGATGGTCGCGTATTACGCGACCGCCTTATAAAATTAAATCACACAAATACACTTAGCCCGGGTATATATATAATTTAAAAATATATTTTAAATAGCATTTTGTATATCAATTTGTAAAAATTTCAATGCACCTTATTGGGACGCGGTCACGTCAAGTGTTTTTTGTGACTGTTAATTTTATTTTATCTTAATTTTTGCATGGTTACCAATAAGAAGAAGTATGTAAATTACTAAAGTAATGCATTTATATTAATATTATATATATATATATATATATATATATATACAGAGTGTTCCTAAAAAGTGGTACCAAATTTTAGGGTATGTAGTACTCGTTAAAGCAAACCAAAAACTTTTAATAAACAGTACTCCGAAAATCTTTTATTTCTGAGTTATGAAGCATTTTCTTCTGTGAAAAATAGAAAATAAATTAAATCTACAATAAATGTTCAATGTGCCTTCGGCTCATGTCAATACACATTTCGGCATGTTTCATTATTGAAGGTCAAAGAGTCCAGGTTTATTTTGTATTTGTTGACAACAGTTTCCAAGT